GTGTTTGAGTAACAAGAGTAGGTTTTGGCATGTGTTTCTCAATTCTCTCAAATTATCTAACAGGCTGTATTCGTTAATATGCGATGAATAACTGCTCTTACACCTATTGTGAGATTTTGATCTATCTGTGGATCTGCTCCTATACTTGGATTTAAATAGTTAAAATCCTGCATTACATAATGTCCTGCAAAATGTGAGGAGAGTAAGAAACAGATTTTCCAAAATAACTAGGTATGGTCTGTAATTTTAGGATATACAATTTACCAGTTTAAGTTTCTGACAATAGAGGCCTGCGATGAGTTAAATGACTTCCAAATGTATCCTTAATTACATTTCACTTGAAAGTGGCGTTTTATGAATAAGGGTCATACTCCTCTGGCCTTGGGGATGAGAATGATGCTGTATACTAACCTGCCATTTCTTTCCGCCGTAATCCTAATTAGTATCCTTTGCTAAGAGATTGCGTTTCTTTGTAGAAAACTATTTTTGGAGTCCATAATCTTTATTTTATTCATGACTTGTTTTGTTTTACCTTTCTAATTTGTTGCTAGACCTCTGCAGTTTGCCAAGAAACAAATTAAGGTGTTACTCTTTGAGATCATCTTACAAGAGACAATGATAGATTACCTTAGGGTTAGGTATAAGGCGCTTAACGCAATGAACAAGAAAACCTACTGGAGAAGCAATACAAACAATCCCATCCATTATAGATCACAGATATCCGACAACTGGAACAATGACAAATACCCATTCCACCAATCACACCACTTTCTAACGTGAGAGCCCATGATAACCCCCCCTAGACACCAGAATCTTACAGACTCACCGAATACATTAGCTGTCTCGTCCACACTTTAAACAAAGGAGGATCAAGTACAAACCACTCTAGTATGATCATTACCGAAAAAAATCTCAACTGCCCGATTATTTCTCTATAATACCCTTAAAACAATAATTAACAACACACACTAGGGTCATCAGCCAACCGACAAATTATAGTGAGCGTTCAAACTCAAACCTTCCAAATATTTTCACGCCAAAAGCACCATAGAAAAACCTAAAAGGCACCATAGATAGAGAAAGTCAAGTTTGTCTCAACAGGGTTAAACAATCAATAAACGGACTGCAAATAGCTCCACCTAAGTGAGAGAAATGAAACTGGGCATTATAGCTGCATCATGAAGGAATCCATATTTACATAGCAATCTCAATACACATAAGACAAACAAATGAAAATCACAACTCTCACACTAAATATATTCTAATCACTTGCACCATATATTTCAATATACAAATCACGTTATAATACAATTATAATATAAATTCTATGGATTATCAGCCATATTACTATTACAATTATATCAGAATAATGAAAAACCTAATATAACCTTAATATACAGATCATCATAACTATAACATATATATGATAATTAGTATAAAATAAATACAATCATGGCGTGTTGAATCCACTCAAAGAAAAAAACAGATAATATTCAAATCAAAAAAATGGATCAAAACAGAGTGCATCGTTCAAATCCTATGCTGGAAAGCACACAACAGTATTGATAATAATAACAAAAAAGACACATACACGTCATATAGACAACATGATAAAGTGAGAAAAACAGCGAAGAAAAACAAAAACACTTCTGCTGGTATAGATAGGATGACACGTTGACTCTACCACCTGTAGAGCCTGTTTACGTGGATGCTGATGATCAATATCACATGGATTCGAATATATAATACATTGGATGATGTCAGTTATTATTACTCTGCTACCTGATTGTAGCACTAGAATGTGTCAGTGTTGCATAAAATAATAGGGATAAATTACAAATAGTACGTCGCTCTCCCCTCACAGGAACATCTAACTAGGAGCATGTGTAACAGAGACACGGTTGAAAAATTGAAAACTGGACTTGGAAAAATCTTATAATAAAAAACAAAAAAAATCAAACCGCTAGACCCTTCTTGTAAGATTACTTTGACTGACACGCATTTAAAATTGATCTGAGGTGATTAGATTTCGGAATATGAAAAGTACATGAGTCTATCTATATTAAAGACATAACTTATTATACATTGTTACTAAGTTGGCTCATCATATGAGGTACCAAATATTTTAATTGCCCATCACATCTATCGCACGTAACATAGGAGAATATGACTACCTGACTCCATGCATAGTAATTACAAAATTAAAATAAATACTGTTACTATTTATTACTATTTATAACCAGACTTGGAAAATGCACTATGCGCATATTATCCTTCTATCAAACTAGTACTGTCAGGACACACAAACTAAATTTTCGCATCTTTCCTCCCACGCTCATGTAGTGTGTAGCGCCCCCTTTGAGACATATGCGCCGATGAAAATCACGTCAACACCATAATTGAAAGTAACTATCAAACAGTAGTAATTAGGACATCATCATAACAACGTAAACAAATCTCTGAAAAACAGAACATTCCACTGTCTGGAAAACGATTAACCCCTAAATTGGCAATTATATGTCAGATTGCAGTGTGATAAAATGAGATTCAATGTTGGATTGATAACTATTAATCTAAACAATAAACCCGGAAGCTTAGGCTGTAGAAATATTCAATGTTACAAATTATAACACTTAACTTGTCTGCGCTAAATAATCAAATACTAATCGATCTTACAGTACACTAATTAAACAAAATAAAATACAATACAATCAGAACCATACTTACTGATTAGCCAAAAACTGAATGAAAGATGCTCTTTCATGAAATTTCTACTGTCACCTCAAGTAGGGGGAGCAGGCAAAATAATAGTCTATACAGGACAGAGAATCTATAAAAATTGCACACACAAACAGGATAATAATGCAGGCACTGGTAACAAGAAGTTCGCAAACATCTCAAAAAGAGTAATAGGCCTTGCTTACGGACACTCTAAAAGACACTCTCCAGACTTCAAACTTAGTTTAATGTGGCTACAGAAGGTGCTACCAGTATCATCTGATTGAGCTAGTATAGCTTGCTCATGCTGCTAGACATATTGTACGACGATAATCTTCAAAATCTAACACCAAAATAGCCAAGCAACAAAACAAATATGGCATTTGTGATGATGAAATGTATACGTATAACTTAAATGATATCAACAACATAAAAATATATAAGGTATTTAAGTCATACTCTCGTATTGATTATTTTTTAATTTCTTCACAACTGCAGTCCAAAATTCAGGATAGCTTCTATGATAATATCGTGATTTCATGCCCCATGTTGTATAGTATATGTGGATAAAAAAGTGACAAAAGACCCAGCTAGATGGCACTTTCATCACAAATGGTTGCAAGATGAAGAATTTGTGAAATATATAGGAAAACAGAAGAGTTTTTTTATTATATTTAATGCGGAAGATATAGTGGACCCTATAGAAATTAACAATGACTTTAGAGGCTGCTATAAAGAATTATATGATACTAAAAATGAGATTAATGTGCAAAATTTGAATTGTTTTTTAGATGAACTATCTATACCTAATTTACCTAACAAAGATAAAGAAGATCTGGAAATTACTGAAGAGGAAATAGGGCATGCCGTTGATAATATGAAGTCAGGAAAAAGGGCAGGACCAGATGGTTCTCTATCGATCTATATAAAAAATTCAAAAATAAGTTGCTAATACCACTTTTGGAAATGTTTCTGGAGGCATTTCAGAAAGGCAGTTTTCCACCCTCTATGAATAGTGCTTCGATTACTTTATTGCCAAAACCAGATAAACCTTCTACCAAGTGTGAAAACATGAGACCAATAAGTCTGTTAAACTCCGACCTTAAGATAATATGTAAACTGTTGGCAATACAGTTACAAAAGTTACTGCCAAATATTACTAATAGAGATCAAAATGGATTTATAATAGGATGCACTCTTATCATTAGATGCGGAAAAGGCCTTTGATAGGGTCGAATGGTTTGGAATTGGAAGTAATTTCATAAAATGGGTTATGGTGTTATATAAAAATTCTACTGCAGAAATCTTGACAAATAGAAATATTTCAAAACCAATAAAAATCAGTAAAGGGTGCCGACAAGGTTGTACACTATCTGTTTTATTGTTATTGGAAAATATTGTTGAAGCTAATTATGAACCTTTGATGATGAAAATTAATGAATCAATCGACAGACGGATGTCACTACCAGTATCTATAATTGGGAGAATTCATATTTTAAAAATGAATATACTGCCAAAGCTACTTATTTCAAAATATTCCTCTGCCACCTCCTCCAGATTTTTTCTCAAAAACTAAAAATATGTTTGTGAGATTTATATGCAAGAATAGGAGGGCAAGACTTTGTTTGTCTTTGTTGTATTTGCCATATGACAGAGGGGGCTTAAGGTGTCCAAACTTAATGTGGTATTACTGGGCTGCGCAGCTGAGGTCTGTTATGTTCTACTTTTCAACAAGTGAGCCTCCACTTTGGACTGAAATGGAGTCTCACGGTCTGGCGTTGCCGCTTCCCTCATACATATACTCAGACACAATAAAAAGTCCTGTCCTTATACTATGGGACATATAGTATGAATAAATACAAGTGAAGAATATTTGTGTATTTTGTGTTTT